CAGCACCCCTGATGTGTCGTCCTGGGGGAGCACTGGCATACACCTCAAACTTCGTTTGCAGATGCCACCCCCGCTTGACATCTTCTATTAGATGTTCAAACTCGAGGCCTACGGTAACATTCTACCTGGTTAAAGAAAAGCGTATATATGTAAGTCAACCAGCCTTCACCTTGGTTAATTTAGGGATTTTATTTTTTCAAGTTTGCAAACTTCCTAAGGAATCTTTTTTTCTTTTTCTAAAATTAAAAACTAGTACATGCTTTTAAAAATGAAGTCAGTTTCACTTCCCAGGCATAACTTCAGTGAACATTTTATTGTGTGGTCTTTCAAACTTTCTGTGTGCATGTAATGATAACTGATGAAATACTCAGTCAGAAAATATAATTTATTATATTGTATTTGCTACATTAAAATAGATCCTGCAAAAATTATGGTTAAAAATATCATTGTAGTATTTATCTCTGAATGTTAGGACTTGGGTAATTTATTTTCATTTCATTTTTTTATTATAAGTAATAATACTTTTGTTGCAGTAGATTTAGTTGAAAGGCGATAGATTTTAAAAGTCAGCCTTTCCCTGAAACTAAGACATGAAAAAATATATATATTGTAAATTAGGGGATGAGGGGTCGTTGTGATGGCCAACAGAAGTCACAAACAAAATTCACTATCATAAGAGCTTATAAGGAAGTTAACAGGTTACCACAAGTCAGTGTCAGTGAACTGTAAGGATACAGCAGCACCTTGTCTCAGCAGCCAAGTCTCTTTCTCTGGTCCTCAGCCTCTGGTTTCCATGGACCAGGAAGCCCACCTGCTTCTCTACTTCGTAGTCCCATACATAGTCTCAGCACTAATCGTCTGTTCCGACTCAGGGTCTCCTTGCCCTCCTAACCCTTAACTTCCCGAAGCTGGTTTTGGTGTGGTATGACCTCCGCTGCATCTGCCTCTCCAAGCAAGGAGGGATCTTGAACACTCCACTAGTGGCTCTTTTTCCTTGATGGTCTCAGGAATTCTCTCTCATATAGGGAGGTGTGGTTTCTTCAGACTACACTCAAGGAAAACCAAGGTTGGTGACTTGGTTCATACCTTCTAGCAAAGTGGAGTCTCAGAATTCATCCCACCTTAACCCTTCCCATTACTTTAATGGAGACTTCCCTCCAAGATGAGATTATAACCAAATCATAGAAGCTAAAATTTACATCACAAAAGGGATTGTGGCTAGGAGGGCCATGTTATTTCACTACATCTCAATACCAGATCATCATTTTGCATTCATTAACTATCAAACCCAGGGACTTACTCTGTTCCCCAGCCCCCGTAATTTCCCCAACTCCTTGTAGGACATCATCTTTCCCTCACCTAAGATAAACCTCTCTACCCTCTAGCCTTTTTTACTTCCCTTTTCTTCTCATGGCTGGTCACTATGTATATATATGATCAGTGATACATGATATTCATATTGTTGTGTTGATTAACTTCCCTTGGCACAGTGTCCTCCAGGTTCATCCATGTCATGAGGTATTTTCATAGTTGTCTCATTCTTTTAACAATGTATTATATTATTCTATTGTATGTGCCCTAAAAAAAACCCTAAGCTTTTTTTAAGATCATTTTATTGGGGGCTCTTACAGCTCTTATAAAACAATCCATACATCAATTGTATTAAGCATATTTGTACCTGTTGCTATTATTATTTTCTAAACATTTACTTTCTATTTGAGCCCTTGGTATCAGCTCCTCTT